TCTTCCTCTGCGAGTGCCTCCGATGAACCTGAACTTGCACGCGAAATTATATTCTCGTTTGCATCTACGGAACCGTCAACCCGAATACTGTAGGAGCTGTCCCTAGCCAGGCTGAGCCAGGAGAGACTTTGTGCCAACCTTCCCGTCACGGCACTCCACAAAACTTTTAAATTAAGGGTTTGGCAGGATATGTTCGGCTGTGGATGCCGCTCAGGTGGTCGCTGCGGTTTGCTGCTTTTCGCAGAACCCGCCTCGCGGCGAAACCTATTGATCGTTTGCACATGTAGCAGCAAATTGTGCAGTCCGATCTTGGTAAGGCGAAGTCGAACAACAGAGACAAGTAAACCGAGGCGATTGCATCAAGGACTTTTGGCTGGTCTTCGATGGCTTTCTGATGGCAGCCACAGTCACCGAGCTTGGGCCTTAAGCTCTGCTGGCCACGTTCTGGTTGCCCCTTTGGAAATCCTTGCTTGACGAGGACATGGCTCATGCAGTTCGTGCTTTGGGCAGCTGGAGGCTCAGGAACGCTAGCTAGCCCATTACTTGTTTTGGGTTAACTTTATTGTCCGATCATGTCCAGCGCTTTTAATCTGTGTCTCTTCTTGACATCAGATGCTCTCCGCCTGAGGCCGGCCTCCACCAAGGAAGGCAGGTTGCAGTAGTCAGTGTTTGCTGCGGTGAATTTCTGTCATGTCTCTTTAGCTCCGCCTCTGGAAGTAGATTTGTACTTACGCTCGTGTCTCTTCCTTTGCCTCTCTCTCCCTCCCTCTCTCTCTCTCTCTGTCTGCATGTATCGCAAGGTATCGTGTTGTGACTTTAGACTTTAGCGTTGCTGCATCGCAGATAGCTGGCAGGTCATTCCAAGGCAGACACTGTATGTTTGTAAGTGCTGCGCGCATGTTTGCACCCAGGCATGTATGTTTGAGTACATGTGCTGTGATGCCTTTCTGTTTTGATGGGCTGCCATCTCTGCTGTTGACCATGGCCTGCGATATCGGTTCGACAAGACATGTTGGTTTGCATGAGGTCCAGCTGGAATGTAGTGGATATATCGTGGAGAGTGTGCCGTCTGGAGGAGACCAGAAGTGTTTGTCCTATCCAGCAACAATGTTTTTGTGTGCTTTGCACAGGTCAGAGAGCAGCAGCATGCAGCTTGGCACTGTTTTTATGTACTGCCGGATGAAGGAGCAGCAAGCAGTCGCGCTGCAGAACTAAATATGTGCGATATGTGATTAGAGGTGCCATTCCGAACTGTGGCAGATGAAGTTGGGTTCGACTACACATTGCAATGTTCTTTGCTATCAGCCCAATCTCATCGTAGATGCGTGGATCTGTATTGTGCCTGTAGCATGGATCGATCTTCACAACTTGCCGTGCACCCTTGAAGACTTTATGATGGTGCCATGTTGCATAGGCGCGGCTTCACTGTATACAGCCATACCGAGAGACACCTCCGAAAGGTGCAGAAGCCGCAAATAAGATTGCGGCAATACGAGAAACACGCGATATAGCAGCAGCGCAGATTGACATGAAACAAGCAAGATCCGAACATGCACAAGCATATGTGCTTGCTTGTGAAATCACGCGGGCGTTAATACTGGCCGGTTACAGTAGTCCCCTCTACATTACTGTATGTGTGTGTTGCTATTGGTATCTTTTTACACTTAGCCGCTGCCTACTGTACACATCATGTTGCAGCGGCGTATTGGATCAAGGCTTGGTCTCGATTTCAAGCTATCCGGGGATGTTTTCCTCGTAGTTTTCCATCTAGACCTTCGACATTCTTCGACGGCTGCCCACAACAGCATTCCAACGCCAATCTGAGGATTCGAATAGTGCGCCTCATGCGCATTGTACGAATCGCCCGCATCGCCAGGCTGTGAGCTCCGTCAATGAAGCCTCCTATAGTTGTTTGTTCTCGCAAGTGCTTTCGAGGTTCCGCTAGCTTGAAAGAGCCTACGCAACAGCATTCAAGACTTGGGTGAAACTGCATGCTGACAGGGTGCTCCACATGGTGCCGGAGCTGTTGATACTCGTCAAAGCTATGGCCACAGCCTCGGCAAACGGAAAGCTTTTCAGTTGAACGCGCTGCGCGTCTCATCTCCGAGATGGGAACATGATATTCAGAAACTGTCGGAAGGTTGTCGCAATGCGAGCCGTTTTCTTCTCAGTTACACTTTTGGTCCTAGTGCCTGGGCCTCAGAGGGCATCGATGCTGCGTACTGGGGGAGTGGAACCGTTTGAGAAGTTTCGCTGTAGCTGGCTTTCGAGCCCGGCTGGACAAGGCTCTATGTCTTCGGCATAGTCTTCACCCAGTTGGCACGTGATGCCGCTCGAGCAGAGGCGGGCAGAGGATAAGCGCACGGCCGACCTGTGGAATCGTCACGAGAGCCGATCCGGGCCAGCGTATTTCGCAGGGACCTTGAGAACAGTGGAAAGTATTGCGCTCTCCTCGCAGACCTACTTCGCGACGGTTCCGGACTCGATGTCCACGTTGCTCTTGAATGGAATCTTCCTGGTGTCTTGGGCGCATGTAGGGGGAGGCACACAGCTTCCAAGAGTCTCTCGCCCCTCGCCTCAGTGGCTGAAGGACAACGTGGGAAGCGTCGTGCGGGACATCGGTCGCGACAACCTGCTTTTCAGCGCACTTTTCATGGCGTCGCCCGTCAGTAAATCTTGCGATCGGTGATCAGATTCAAAGCTCCTTCAACAAAAAGAGCCCTTTTGAAAGGGACGGTCTTGTTTTCATTGATGACGGCTGCCACGGCGCGGTGTAGAGTCTGCTCCGTGCAAGAAGGTTTGTGCTGGTCGCCACGTTGACCGTCATGAATATGCTGGCAGCAGCCCGAGCTTCCAGCATGGCCTGAACTCGCTGTTTTGCGGACTTGTGGGCTGGAGGTCGGCATACTCGTGGAGGTCATCAATGTCATTGCATCGGTGGAAAAGGCCACAGTGTTTTTGCGGCAAGGGTGACATGTTCCTGACAAAAGTTCCTGCTGGTAGCTTTGTCATGTAAGTGGCAAGTATTCACAGGAGCAGCTCATGGTCCAGAAGGTCCAGGAGAAGCTGGAAGAGGCTGCCGCGAGTGCATCGCTTCCTAAGAAGGAACAGCCTGCAATCTCCTTGACCCTTTTTGAGAGGTGATGGATATAGTTGGCCTGCCAGGAGCCCGGGTGCAAGTGCATAAGGAGGTGCTAGCGAAGGCGTTTGCGAGGTCTCCAAGCGCATGTTGAGCCAGATTTGGGCGGCTAAATGGCTCAGGTCTCCGGATAATCGGCTGACACGATGGGTGGCTAGGCTGCACGATGCTGCATCGAATCTGCAGACGATGCATGCCGAAGTTTTCTGCGTGTAGGGTGGGCCTTCATGTTTTGTCCAAGCGAAATGTGCGACACAACTCTTCAGGAGTTTCTTCAGCTCATCCAGCAGCCCGAAGCGGCGCGGATCCTTCAGGACTTTCCCAATGCTGTCTTGTTCACAACCCGCTGATTGTGCACCACCAGGATGTCGGCGTGGACGCAGTGCCCCGGCGCAAATAAGCGATGAGCCTAAAGAAAGCCCCCTCAGCTGGAAAGGTGGGCCTCTTCGACTTCGTCGGTGTGATCTTCCCAAACACTCATGCAACCATCACGTTTCCAGCGCTGATGCAGGTGTGAGAGTAGTCCCAGATCATTTGTTGCTGCTCGTACGGCTGATGCTTGCAGGTCGTCCTGTCACTGAGGGGGAACAATTTGGCTACCGTCGACTCCTCGGCACTGCGTGCACCGGAGTCCAACACCTTTGAATCGAGGCTTCACTTTGGATCCTGAGTATACGAATTCGGTCGCACGGAAACTCTTGCTGTCATGTATTTGTTTGAAGAATCTCGGAACAATGTCATGCTTAACGGGACGAGACGGCAGTGGCCAAAAGTAATGAGCTTGCATTGTACGAGGTCAAAGATCTCGTCGACTTGCGCAAGTGCCACTCGGACCGCAGCACCCATCATCCTTCGCCAGTCCTTTGCCCATGCCAGCTGCGCTCGCTCACGGTTCTCACACACCGTGAGCAAGTACCTGCGCGCATGTGTGTTCGGGGCTGCAGCGATCTCCATCGATTGCCGAATGCAAGAGTTCTCCGAAGTGTCCCCAAACGAACATGTGAAGAAGAGTGAGTCCTCACTATCACAAATGCTCAATGCTCAGGCCTCCTGGCTGAGCTTGCTCGATTTCCTGCCCTCTCGGGACGCTGAACTGCGAGCTTTGAGAGCTTCGAGCCGCCGTAGTCGGCGCTTCAGCCTGGCGGTTGCAACCACCGGCGAGTCCCAGCTTCTGCCAGACAGCTCAGGGAAGTTTTCTGACAGTGGAGCAGACCAGAGCCCAGCAGAGAGCTGGGACTCCCGTGGTCCGTTGGAATTCGCGGGTTTTATGCCTCTGTAAAAGAATTTGTTCCATGCTTTGGGGGATGCCGCATCCCGGAAAGCCTTGATAATAGTCCTTGAGCCGCGACGTTCGAAGGGGTTCCGAGCTTCAAGAAGTTCCAGCGACGTTGCGGCTCGCTAGTAAGAATTCACAAGCCATCTGCGAAGCAGAGGTGGAAATGTAAGAGACACACTGCCTTCTGGACAGACTGAGCATGTTCTTGCAGAAGAAGGCTCAATATCAGTCTGCGCTTGTATTGATACAGCTCATATCTGTTTATGTCCATCTCATGATGCCCGACGCCATCGGGACGGGTCAATGAACGGGCGTGTGCGCAACCGCATACACCGCCTGGCGGTTTCACTGCCTGACGGACAGCTGTCGCTTCTCCTCCAAAGCACAAGAGGAGACTGGCAGCAGAACTGTTAGCGGTGCCAAGTGCTTTGGACTTCACCTGAAGGTGCAGAGTTAAGAAGAATAGCCTGCCTCTTAAAGTCTTGCATGTTGCCCTTGTGACTTGTGACGCTTGTTGTCAAGTTGTTTACCACGTCGACGCTTGTTGGAGTTTGTTGCCTGTGCAACCGTGACCTGTCAGCAAAGGCGGGCTGAAACACTTCGCTTGCGGCAGAGGGCTCACGATCTTGAAGAGGAGACCGAGGCGCTGCTTTGCATGGCGTGGGGCACTTCCGGGTTATGGCCCCTCTGAGGGTTGGCCGTCAGCACTCGAGCAGAATCTTCGTTTCGGTTAGAGCAACTCCCACCTTCTGAATCCTGCGTTTCTGCTGGTCGCGTTAGAAGGTGAAGCTGCAGGCAACGGCGCAGCAAGCCCGCGACGAGGTTGGCAGATGTCATTCTAAGACAGATGGGCCGAAATGCTGCGTCAACTGGAGTCTTTAGTGTAACCACGCCGTGCCGGGCTGTCCGTCTCGAAGTGGTGGAGGCGCAGGAGGCTCACTTGCGGCGCATCTTGGGAGAGGCAGGAGCTGTGGGTGTTGGTAGCAGCCTGTGCGGATTTCTGCTCCACGACTCGATGCATCTCTTCACTGTCACGCTCGACTCAAAGAGACAAAAGGCTCAGCAGACTGAGCTCGGCCTGGAGATGCGCGGCTTTGAGCAGCCGCCGGACTCAGTGGTCGCAGATGGGCCGTCACGAGGTTTTCTGTGTCAGTCACAGGGCCGTGTGGCAAAGGCATTCAGCCGAGTCCAACAGAACCTAAAGTGAAAGTGGACTGTTGGTTTGGGACCCTTCTAGATCCAAACAGCATACTTAGACTCTGATGACTACATGCCCCATACAGTCGTCGACTTGTGAGATAGTTTCATGTCATGCTTGATCATGCTTGTCACTGAGGCGTCAGGCGCTGCAGTTCTAGCCTCAGAGTGCTGAAGAGGTGATCTGATTTTACAAATTATTCCGGTAGTGCAGGAACGCTCTACCGCAAGAGATTTCACATGCACTGTATTTGCCCCCAAGAGAAGGCCCACTGTGTTGCGCGCATTAGACTTAGAGGTAACGTTGGAATTTGTTCGACATTTGGACTCTGGACCTGAATACATTTTCTCGGTGTGCGCGGTGCAGCTGACAGGCAAGATCGACAGTTGCATGTTTTCATCTGCAAATATATGAGCGTACATGCGAAAAAGCATGTTCGCAGGCGCATGCACTACATGTAGTACATAGACTCACACCTGCAGCCGAGATCAGCCAGCCAGCCAGCCAGCCAGCCAGCCAGCCAGCCAGCCAGCCAGCCAGCCAGCCAGCCAGCCAGCCAGTCAGTCAGTCAGTCAGTCAGTCAGTCAGTCTGCCTGTCCGTGTGTATCTATGTATGTAGATATGTATGTATGTAGGTATGTATGTATGTATGGAACCGTATGTGTATGTAACTGTATGTAACTATGGATTCGCATGCTCTTCCATGCACATACATGTAGCTAGCGTCATTGGCTCTGCCTTCTCACTGGCAAAGGCGCAGAAGTGAGCGCGTTGCATACTTGCGTGGGGGCAAGAAAAGTTGAGAACGGAGGGACTCACTTTCGGGAGGCCTGAAGGGTTCAGGCGAGACGGATGCTTCAGCTGCCCGAATATCGCTCCAAGCCGTTCAATGTCCTAGGGCCCGACTTTGAGGTCAGGTGGTTTCATGTTTCGGTTTGTTGTAGAGGTTGATAATTGGTAAGGATGGAAGCATGGAGGACAGAACTCTTCCACCAGTTCTTTTAGGGAGGGTTTTGTCGCTCAGCGCATGTTGCTTTTCGCAACTGGCCTCTGGCTTTGCCAGCTTGTAAGCAGCTGAACATCACGATGATCTTCCGAACCAGACCGGCCCACCAATGGTGCTTTAGGAACGAGCGAGTGGTCTTTGCAATCGCAGATAGCTCACTGTCGTACCGAACGGACATCACATCCTTCGTGCGAGCGCCGAAGCCGCGAGCTTTTTGGCCAGCACCTCGACAGCCGAAGCTTCGAAGAAGCGGGAAGGAGGACACGAGTGCAGTTTCCTAGCATTCGATGATTCAGCCTTGTACTTGCGTAATTACGTGGGTTTCAAGTTACGTTACAAGCTCAAACACAGCGGAGCTCCCAGGTATCATGGCAGCGGCTCAAAACAACTTCTTCCTTTGGGGCACCTGGAAAAACAGGCGAGGCCCTGCGGCCCTGCGCGTGACATAGGCGGCCAGAACCTGCTGGCAGGGTGATCTCGAAGCCCTTCCTCACCAAGAAGGTCGGAGCCTTGATTCGGTGTGCAGTGAGTCAAGACTGCGAAGAGCCTGTGTCGATATGTCCGGAACGTTTGATCCTCGCAACACTTCATGTGACACCATGCTCTTCGAGGTGGCGCAGCAGCTTAAGAAAGTCGCCGGCACCTCAAGAAGCTCTGGAGTGTTTAGACCAATTTCGTCATCAAGTCTCTCTGTCGCAGCTCTAGAGGCGTCCATGCTGTGCAGGTCCTTGGAGAGAGCTTTGTCATCGGCCTCACCGAGAATGGCAAGGTGTGACGGCGTGACGACTGAAGGTTTTTTCATACACACAGCAGCCTGGGGAGCTTTTTGCCAGGTCGTCTCCTGGGGCAAGGATCTGAAGAGCGGATGTCTTGGCTTGGGTCCGGAACACAGCCATAACAGAACGAACTGGACAAGCATTGTAGGAGCGAAGACGATGTCTGAGTCCTTGCCCCATTAAGGTTTCTCAGAGGACACCGGAGCGCCGGTGATGAACCAAGACGTGCCTCAAGAGGTCCGCGAAACGGGGACGCGACGCGGAGCCGAGCCCTTCGAAGCGCAGGGGACTTTCTACACGAAGTGTAGTGACCACGACCCTCCCCGCAGGGAACTGACAAGAACTGTCCATTTCCATTTTCTGGGCTGGATTGGGCCGTAACACACTTTTCGGACTGCACGCAGACTACTTTGCACCGGAAGCCACTTGATCGTTGAAGTTGTGCACCCTGGCCGCAGATTGCCTCGCTCAAGGAGGTCGCCGACTTACCGACTTAGCAAAAGACATGTGATTCGATCTCAGAAGCTGGGACAAAGTCCTTGCTGGGTACCTGATTTTTCTTGTTTCATAATATCCCAGAGGACCATTCACCCTTCCAGCTGGGTTTGCAACAGCGAAGTTGGGGACAACAGAAACAGTTGCATGTGCTTTGATGTTGTAGCTAGGTATTGAAGTTTCGGTAGGCAGAGCCTTGTTTGCCCGTCGGTCTTTCTGAGGTCATGGACATCCAGATGGGTACAGAGCACGTTGTGGCGCTAACTACAGGGGGGGAGGCGCGGAACTTGTGATGCTGCCATGCTCGCTTTGGACAGATGTGATCTTTGCATTGGCAAGTTTATTTGCCCAGGTCTTCTGCTGGGGCAACGGACAGAAGGGCCAGCTTGGCAACGGCAACCAAAACACATCATACATCCCTAGCAAGGCTGGGCAGGTGACTTGTGAGGGGATCGTGCCTAATCTTGAGCCCGAATCCGTGCGAAAAATATTTCGCTGGAGTGTGGTTATTGCCTCATTTCCTCAGGTAGATGCCCTGGCCAACGAACAGATCGTCCAAATCGTAGTCGTGAAGCCCGATTCTCAGTATATAGCTGTAGACATCCGTGGTCCTTGAGCCAGTTGTGCCCTCTGTTTTAGGAACTCGACCTTCGCACTGTCCACCAACGGCACAGTCTTTGGCTGGGGTGAGAACAAGGACCGCAGCCGTGGACGTACAGCGCAAGCATGGCCACCGCAATCAACAACAGAGTACCCAACTTGGAGAGCGTGTCTCGCCCGCTTATTGCATTGGCGGTGGTGATACTGTCCGGCTTTATCAAAGGCTTTGTCAAATCCGCTCACCCGATGTCGGATTTTGCACATTCCACACAATGAGGGCACGTAATTCCGAGATGTGCCTATGCTCTTATCATTTCTTCTCATGACAAAGCGATCCAGGACAATATTCTTGGTTTCGAGGACGAGACAGCGAAAAAGCAGGCGGCTGGACTTACTAAAGGACAGGGATGTGTGCGACTGCTGCATGTGTGTGCTCAGTCACTGGCATGTGCCAGGCCTGTCACTGTTGAGTAGCTGCCGTGCATGTGTCGGATTGCTCGTTGGCTTTGGAAGCCCCAGCCTCTGCCTGCCGACATGCCACTCTCCTAAGATCGCGGAATGGCCCTTGAAGCTGACTCTGCTCCAAGAGAATCGGGTGCCTTGGAGCAAAAAGCATATGATGCACGCAAAGTTTCAAAAGGCTTCAAATACTGCAGTTGCATCTTGCGCAGGGGATCGTACAGGCCTCCATGTCGTTCAGGGTAAACTGTTCGTTTACTCCAGAGACTTTGGTGTGCGGTCAAACATAGCTCATGCCGTGGAGCTTTCGGGTTGTGTCAGCTGCTGGAGCCAAGCATCTGCCTGTAATTATGGAGTGCATGTCTTAGCTTTGCCCAGCACCAATCTTGAATGATTCAACGTCAACAGTTGGAGGTACGAAAGCTCGAGGTTTTCGATGGCAAGACCATCATTGCCCACATTCGCGTCCATGCCCCAGGCTTCGCACGTCCACGGGCGCGGGCCTGTGAGGGCAGGGAGGCGTCGCGTGCTCTGCGGCTGTGCAGCAGACCTAAAGTCCGGTCTGAAAAACAACGTGCCTGTCTATTCCAGAGCGCCTACTCACAGGACTTGATACGGATTTATCACATGCCCAGGGCCAGGACAGCGAGACGACCTTTGGCCGCTTTGAGACGATGCAAGAAGACGGTGGTCAGGAGAGACCGCAGAGCTTCAGTCACGACTTCAAAGGTTTTTTGCAGAGAGCAGCGCAGATCAGGCTTGTCATTGTCAAACTTCCAGACTTCCGGATGGAGTTGCAGCACCTGGCAACAAGGAGGAAGAAGAGGAGATCGAGATCTTCAAGGGCATTGATGAAATGCGCAAGATCATGGAAAAGACGCAGGCCGCCACGGACCCCCACAGAAGGTTTGAACCCAAAGGCATTACCTCGTTTTCATCACCATCGCGAGATGATGACCCTAGAAGTGCGCTGAGCGGGATCTCAACCCATGCTCCCGTGTCGCAGGTGGTCGTGTGATCGTTGTGCAGGAATAAGCTAGGAGGGATGCACGCAGGGATCACGGAAAGAGCAGCTTCACTCTTGCAAGACGCAACAGAACCGGCGGGGTGCTGGAATCACTTAAACCCACACTGCAAGCCTTACAAGTCAGGCTAAGTCACAGTGCCGCTGCACTGTTTTAGTGGCGGGAGAGTGAGAATCCAAAAGCGATGATGCGGTGTGGCACGTCGCGACGAGTTGGTATATGCTGTGCATCATCGCTCGCTTCGCAGTGTGCATGGATCGCGTCGTGATCCTTGCCCGCTTGGTGCAAGAGTGATTCTCGAAACCCAGAACGCCGCAGACCCTGAATCTTGAATGCCAGGAGTGGTGGAATCACCTACTGAACATCAAGCATGGTCAGCCCTACGACCTCCCGCAGGATTCTCACATCAATGTGGCCGGCCCGCCGAACTTCAGCGGTTTTTCTCAGCACTAACAGGACTCTGGTAGTGGTCGTATCACGACACTACCACCAGTACCATGCATATTCAGAATCTGGTCAGTTTTTGCGCCATGCCGGCCAGAACAACGACAAGCATCCTGACAAGCCGGGGGCGACCATCCATGATGCCGGATACCCAGGAAGCAGGAAGGCCACGGCCGCGGTGTCAGCCTTGTGAACTACCCTGGGGCCTTCTTGCCTCGGAAGTTTTTCGGAGCTCAAGCTTTCGTGTCGTTGTGTCCGCGGGATCTATGAGCATGCTAGAGGCTCGAATCGAAGTCCGATGCACTCCTCAAGTCCGGCTGTTCTGACGGTCAGCCTTTACTTTATGGAGCCTCAAGCCCTTGTGCGTTTCTGGCAGGATCCATAGCTGATCCTGAAGTCCCTGAGCTTGGCTCATTCTATACAAACGAGGTGCCCTCGAAGTATCGCCAGCAATGGAAAGAAAGTAAGAGAAATGATTCATGATTCTGATACTCACTAAAGTATATGGATGAACATTTGAGACGTGCAGTGTTTGTCGGTTTCATTGCAACTCTGCACGATCCCATCAACCCAATTGAACACGAAGCCTTCCTAGAGCCGATGGCGCCTTCAACCCCCCCTTAAAAAAACCACCCTGCTCCTACCGAAAGATCCCCCAAAACCAAACCGNNCCCCCCCCCCCCCCCCCCCCATGTTGCCAAGGATCTCGAGGCCAGGCCCGGGCTCCTCTCAGCTCGATGTAGAGATGGCCCTAATGAGTGAAGCTTCTGGGCCTTTTTGGCCGTTCCGCCTTTGCTTGTAGATGGAAATAGCACTGAAGAACACGGCAGAGTAGAACACTGTGCTATGCTCATGATGATCGTTGGCACCATGAACTGCATGGGTGCAGACAGGGTCCAGAGCGGGATGCCACGGAGTGTCTCGAGCCTCGGCCAGGTTGAGCCTGAGCGTCTCCACCGAGCGGAAAGGCTTGGTTCACTTCGGTGAGGGGCTTCATTCCACATTCAACGGAGGCTTTTGCGCCGGAGTTGTTAACGACACACCTCTCATCGCGGTTGATCTGCAAGTCACTTGGAGCAGAGCATGCCTTCGGCCCTTCGGAAGGCATTTGGACGCCTTGGTCACGGCGGCGGTGACAGAACTCAAACGGACGCAGCAGATGCCAGGGACGAGGACGGTTGTGCCAGGTGACAAGTCTGTCAGCGTCGTGCTAATGCAGAGGTGATTGAGCAGCAACTTGATGAGCATGGTGGCCACCCATCTGTGCCAGGAATGTACGCTTCATCCTTTGCATGTTCATTGACGAATGTCGCCTGAGAAGAGAGAAGGCCTTGTGGGTTCAGAGCTTGCTACGCGGGCGCGCCCATAAGTCGTCGACTTCGTGCAGACATTTTCAGTGGTTTCACGTGACGTGTATCCGAGAGTAAGTCAGTGCCTTCTCACATGCTTGTTGGCCCTGGCCGTTTCATGATCGTGGTGGATTCCTGCCAGTGCTAAGGTAATGTGAGGCATTGTTGTAACGCCGATGTGCGGAGGTGCAGCGCACGATTGCAGCGCGCCAGCTGAAGGACGCCAAAGCGAAATCCAAAGAGATTGTGGCGTGCGCTGGTGTATGCCATTGTTGTTTGTTCATGTCAGAAGGTTCATCAATTGTCGAACCCCAGTTGTCTCGGAAGCAGCTGCTTTCGCACTTCACATTGATAGCTTAACACATAAGGGTGAAGAACACAAGGCATTTGGCATTTCGTTTTAAGGCAAGGTGACTAGTCACTAGTCGAGTCGGCAATCAAAGGATTGCCTGCGAAGACAGCCGGACCCAAGCCGAAGCATCCGAAGCAAGCCCCGACCGAGTCCGGTCCCTGGACGAAAAACTCATGAAGTGCATGAGCGAAGTCCTCCGACTGTTCCAACGTCTCCAATGGAGGGACGATCAAGGGAAGCTCGACTATGAAAGGGTCCGGTCCCCGCGTCTCCGCCAAGCCGCCCGTACCGGCCGCACATCCGCTTAATGTCGAAAAACGAACAGAATCGGCTTCTGATTCTGATGAAAAACTTGGGCACAGCTCGACCACTTGATGGCCATCTGGAACTCGCACTGTGACTATGAGACGGGGGACTGCATCGTGCGTCGTACTGCAAGAAGCGATTTCCGTGCCTTCCGGCCAAGATGGTTACAGCACAGGTGCAGTTGAGGGGCTACTTCCAGAATTCCAGGGCCACGCAGCAAGGACATGGAAGAAAATACAACATGCTTTAGTAAAGACTCCTTGCCACGATCGTCGCACGGTCGTTGTTGATTCAACACCGAGAGGGCAGTGGGGTTTCCACATCATTTTATATCTTTTGATGCGATGAAGTGTCCGTCCAGGTATTCCGTGAAGGACTTCAGTTCCAATGCGAACGAAAGCATAAGAAAAATCATCGCCGTGACAAAGGCGCGCCGGCTGGACTCGCGGCAGACTGCTGAGTCGATGATCCATGCATAGGAATGTGACTTGTGGGGACAACGATGCCTGGCTGCTTATCTGCCTGGACAGGACCTTCAGCAGATGCTGGATGCGGTAAAGACAATTCAGCCGGTGGACGTGCCGAGTCAAGAGCTGAAGGCGCTGAGCTTGAAAGTTCTTGGAAAGTAGGCTTTACCGTATTCTCGCTGCTTTGAAGGCGAGACCTTCGTTTGCAGTGCAGGGCCCTAGGGCCCCGGGGTGTTCCAAACTCATGCAGCGAAGGCGACACTTGTGGAATGCCTGGAGTGCAAGCTTCAGCTCCACGACAACCAGGTTGAGCTCCTGAAGGCACAGTGGCACCTCAGGAGACTTTATGGAACCTGATGTCAGAGTCCTCGTTCATCACTTCTGCCATTGTGTCGTTCTCATGTCATCTTCAAGATTAATAGTTTTCTCCTCTGGTTTCTGGGCACAATTGTCGTAAAATCTCCTCTTACTTTGACATGTATGGGGGTGGGCCGATTAACATGCAAGTCGATGCTGGCAGAGACAATGTTGCTCAAGGGACTTGTCCACTTGACAAAGCAGACCAGTGAGCAACAATGAGCATAGCGACCGAACCAAGTGCAAACCACGCTACCCCTATGAAGCACGGTTCTGGCCATCGATTCCGTGCGCTCAAGCTGTGCAACGGATGTCTGCTGGCCGCGCCTTTTTCGGAGTCGGGGGCACCTTGGCGCTGTTCCTTGGTGCCGCATTCCAAAGGCCCGAATGGTTTTACCGACCTGGCTTCGAAGCTGCCGACTATGACTACGTGCGCAAAGAGCTTTCCTGTCCAGACATTCGCCTGGCAGATCTCGACCTGCCATGCTTGTCTCTGCCAAAGACAAGTCTAGCTGACTTCGAGCGGCAGGGCTTCCTGATTCTGCGACAGGCGTGGATCTGGGAAATGCATGAGCTGGACAATTTTCGGGAGAAGTTATCTTGGCACCTCAGGCCATTCCACTTGAAGCTGTGCATCGACTCTTTCGAGAGATTCAGTGCTTCGTGGCAGTGCATCAGGGCCGAATCCCGTTGCGAAGCTGGTTCAGGGCTGGATTGTGTGGGTTTCTGGGATATTCAGGACAGGTTCTTCATGACAACAGTATGTGCAAGAGCAGCATAGCAAGGGGCATGAGTGGTTCTGTTTTTTGCTGCGGACACCCATGCAGGGACAACGGTCCTGTTTCTGAGGCTTTCTGCAGCCACGGGTGTTATCCGACCGACATCAGTGGGCGCCTTCGTCGCAGAAAGTCGCACTCACCCGCAATCAGACGGCAGCCACGGATAGCAGCAGCAGATGGCCCCTTGATGTGAATAATGCACTGTTCGACCCCAGGATAGCAGTGGCACGCAAGAGATCACGAAGGGACTCTTGCTCTGTCAGTCAGGCAGTCTCAGCCCGCAATGTGTGGATGGATTCGGAGGCATTCGCGAGCTTCGTCCTCCATGCCCTTCAAGCCGCACTGATTTCTCTTTGCAACTGCTCGTGCGCGCATGTTCACAGCGAAACCCACCGAAGCCAGACTGGACCTTTGAGGACCAGAACCCTTTGGGATGCTTGGCAGCGCAGCTCCTCGGAGCCAGCACCGTCCGCTACGGCAGCGAGGCACGCGATCGTGTTTGACCATGGTTCTTGCCTAGTCAGCCAGTCCTTGCAGAGGCTGTGAATATGATTCGTCCGGGCCAGACCGGAGCCGAGACATGGCATTTCGACGTCCAGAGCAGCTCTACTGCAGCAGGGGGAACCACCAGAGCCCCCACTCATCTTCATTCGGAGCATGCGATCTCCAGAAGTTTCCTCAATGACTCCAGCCAGCGAAGCCCGGCCAAGCGCCAATCCCGTGTCAAGCCGTGATCATGACTGCTCATCAGGCAACCTCCGACTCGAGCAATCACCGCGAGGTGCCAGCAAAGTCCGCTTTGTGATACGTGGAATGCACAGGCAGATTTATGTCTTGCATAAGATGCAAGTTTTGATGCCTGGTCTAACTGGCATTGGACATCGCCGTCGTGGTTGTGGTTGTGGCTGTGGCTGTCGCCGCTGTTGCTGTTGCTGTTGCTGTTGCTGTTGCTGTTGCAGTAGTAGTGGTAGTAGTAGTAGTAGTAGTAGTAGTAGCAGCAGCAGCAGCAGAAGCAGCAGCAGTCGTCGTGGAAGCCGTAGCAGCAGCAACAGTACTAGTCGTAGTATTCACACTAGTGATAGCAGAAATAGGCGTAAGCTATGAGTCGACTGTGTGTGGGTATGGACGTGCTTGAAGGTTTTGTAGGGTTTAGGGTTTAGGGTTTAGGGTTCTAGGGTTTAGGGTTTAGGGTCTTCGGCCCGCAGCTTGGAGCTCAAGCGGGCGTTTTCCGGCTTGTGTTGAGCTGTGAGCCATGCTCTTGCCCTTGTACCGCGGCTTTCACTCTGAGGTTTTTTTTTTGGGTTGAGGGCCCTAAACCCTAAACCCTAAACTCTAATCCCTAAACCCTAAGCCCTAAACCCTAAACCAAACCCTAAACCCTGAACCGTAGGGGCTGTTGGCTCTGGGGTTCGGAGTTTGGGATACCAGAGTGCTAGAGGGTTTTGTCAGGTTTGTTCAGGTTTCTGTGGAGTTTGTAATGTAGGGGCTTACATACTTTACCTATACTATTTTGGGGGTTCCTTTGACTCAAAGTATAAAGGGCCCCCAAAACTATTCTAAAAAGGAAGGCCCACACATTATGTGGGATCTCTGGTTTCCGCTTAGGGTTCCAGAGTGTGGGCTCATAGATGTATTCTGTTTCTGCGGTTGTGCTTCGGGGTATCAGATCCAGTCTTACCTGAAGACTGAATTATTTCGAACACGCGCCCACATCATATGACACATAGACAATTAAAAAAGACAAGCACATTCTCGAAAAAAACGCATAATTTCGCAGCCATACACAACATTATAATATCTTAATCTATTATTACCGATATTTCTATGGAGGCTTGATACATTGATCTCAGCTTCCGATATTGGCGATCATAAACAGCTGAATAACTATTCACTTTGGATCTTAGGTATCTGAATGTTGCATCTTCTGCTCATCGACCTGCCCAGCTTCATACCTGACTAGTGTTGAGCACCGATCTAGCCATGAATGTCCCGATCGTGCGTGATGGCTACGGGAGTGTACCCACGAGATGCCATAGGACAAGACGGTTCGTGAAGCTGTCTTTATAAGGTTAGGAGTGTGGGCACCTAATATGGACCCTTAGGCCTTTCTAGGGACCCTTAAGGGTGCATATAGGGTATATAGTGGGTGTATAAGGATCCTTAGCCCTGGGACGATGGCTACTACGGGGTGCTCGATGTTTATGCCGTCTTCACCAGCAAAAAGTATGAGCCCGAGAAACTCATGGAACCAAAGCGCAATCCGAATCCGAGGACAAAGGCTGGTCAGCCGATGAATCGAGTAATAGAAGCAAGCTATGCTCATACGGAGCCCTGAACCCTAAACCCTGAAACCTAAAACCCCAAACCCTAAATCCTAAACCGTAAACCCCTAAAACCCTGAACCCTAAACCCTAAACCCCAAAGGGGCTATAGTTATTCAACAATGCTTACGTTGATGGTTTCGGATGTAGACCTCGACTCTGCCTCCACACGTGGAAGAATTGAACATGACCGCATCCTCAGCCGCGAAACCGGTAAGCAGTAAGGTTTGGGGTTTAGGGTTGGGGTTTGGGGTTTGGGGTTTAGGGCTGGAATTGGGGTTTGGGGTTTAGGGTTGGGGTTTGGGGTTTGGGGTTTAGGGTTGGGGTTTGGGGTTTAGGGTTTAGGTTTGGGGTGTGAGGCTTATATTCAGATATTTAGTAACCTCATCAACAAAGCCGTCATGAGCCCTAAACCCTACGACTCTAAGCCCAGCATGCAAAACAACATTCGACCCGAAATCCTGAACCCTAAACCCTGAACCCTAAACAAACCCTAAACCCTGAACCCTAAACCCTGAACCCTCAACCCTAAACCCTGAACCCTAAACCCTAAATCCTAAACCCTTAAATCGTATAAACCCTGAACCTTAGACCCTCCACCCTGAACCTCGGCCCTCCAAAACATTCCTAAACCCGACACTTTGAGGCCGCAGGGTGCACCCTAAGCCCTATAAACCCTGAAACCCCAAGGCCCTAAAGCCTACGCCCTCCCTATTCCTAGACCCCCCAACTACCCTCTAAAATACCTTACGTACGCACTATTAAGGTCTATAAGGGCTCCATTGAAGGGCCCGTAGGGGTCCTGGTCAACTCCTCGGCCCTTCCCAGCATTCAGGTTACTTCTTTTGCACGGCGCGACCCGCCTCGTCTTCTCGACAAAGTTCGATGATACCTCGCTGCTGACGCTCCCAAGGTCTTGATTCGGGCTCGTGAGATGTTTTATAAGGGTTCTAGAAGGGTTTTATGCAGGTTTATAGGGTCTTTATAAGGGTTGTAGTTATACGGTGTTGACGAGGGGTTTGTGAGGGTCTTGTAAGGGTTTTTTTAGAAAGTTTGATAAAAGTCTTACGTGCTTTTAGATGTTTCTCTTTTTATACTCCAAAGCCCTTTTCGATCTGTTCAGGCCGCCATGTTGCGGTTTTACGGCTACGGTTTGGGGTTTAGGCTTTAGGCTTTAGGCTTAGGGTGTAGGACAGGCGAATTTCAAGCCTTGGGGTTGCAGCCGCAGCTGAGCCGTAAACCCTTTAAGCCCCGAAGCCCAGCGTTAGTGGAGCTCCCAGCTCTGCAAAAGGTTTAGGGTTTAGGGTTTTAGGGTTTTAGGGTTTAGGGTTTAGGGTTTAGGGTTTAGGGTTGCAAAAGGTTCGAGGTCGACTGCTTCAGTGGGTTGAGGTTTGCTCCGGATGCAGGGTCAAGGACCCGTGCCTGCGTTGCATCGTGTTGGCTCGAGGCCGAAGTTATCGGTGATCGCTCATATTCCGTCTTAAGTTATATTCCTTAATTCTTTGGTATGTGGCCCTATAAACCTTAAACCCTCGGGCTCTCTGGCTTTAGGGGTTCTTATAAAGCTTGCGCCCTGGAAGTTTACGTAAGCTCCGAAGAAGGACCCCTCCGCGGCTCGACCTTAACCAATATAGTTAGGAACCCAAAAAGGACATAAGCATAAGCATTTTATAGGGATACCCCTGCCTTATTGGGCTTCATTACAAGGGGGTGTATATGGGATATCCCCATCCGACTTTCTGCTTAAGTGCTTTTTGGGGGCTCATATACTTGCACCCCACAGCTGCCCTGGTTTATGCCCAAAGTACGAAAAATACAAACACACACACACACACAAACAAACACACACACACACACACACGCA